AGGACAGTTTTTTCAATAGAAAAAAAAATTGCTCAGTGATTGAGGACAGATTTTTCAATAGAAAAAAAATTTGCTCAGGAACTGAGGACAGTTTTTTCAATAGAAAAAAATTTGCTCAGGAACTGAGGACAGTTTTTTTTCTATAGAAAAAAATTTGCTCAGGAACTGAGGACAGTTTTTTTTCTATAGAAAAAAATTTGCTCAGGAGCTGAGGACAGTTTTTTTCTATAGAAAAAAATTTGCTCAGGAACTGAGAACAGTTTTTTTCTATAGAAAAAAATTTACTCAGGAACTTAGGAGAGTTTTTTCCATAGAAAAAAATTTACTCAGGAACTGAGGGAAGTTTTTTCTATAGAAAAAAATTTGCTCAGGAACTGAGGACAGTTTTTTCTATAGAAAAAAATTTGCTCAGGAACTGAGGACAGTTTTTTCTATAGAAAAAAATTTGCTCAGGAACTGAGGACAGTTTTTTCTATAGAAAAAAATTTGCTCAGGAACTGAGGACAGTTTTTTCTATAGAAAAAAATTTGCTCGGGAACTGAGGACAGTTTTTTCTATAGAAAAAAATTTGCTCAGGAACTGAGGACAGTTTTTTCTATAGAAAAAAATTTGCTCAGGAACTGAGGACAGTTTTTTCTATAGAAAAAAATTTGCTCAGGAACTGAGGACAGTTTTTTCTATAGAAAAAAATTTGCTCAGGAACTGAGGACAGTTTTTTCTATAGAAAAAAATTTGCTCAGGAACTGAGGACAGTTTTTTCTATAGAAAAAAATTTGCTCAGGAACTGAGGACAGTTTTTTCTATAGAAAAAAATTTGCTCAGGAACTGAGGAGAGTTATTTCTATACAAAGAAATGTTTCAGGATCTGAGGAGAGTTTTTTTCTATAGAAAAAAAATTTGCTCAGGAACTGAAGACAGTTTTTTCTATAGAAAAAAATTTGCTCAGTGACTGAGGACACTTTTTTCTATAGAAAAAAATTTGCTCAGTGACTGAGGACACTTTTTTCTATAGAAAAAAGTTTGCTCAGTGACTGAGGACACTTTTTTCTATAGAAAAAAATTTGCTCAGTGACTGAGGACACTTTTTTCTATAGAAAAAATTTGCGCAGGAACTGAGGACACTTTTTTCTATAGAAAAAAATTTGCTCAGAATCCGAGGACAGGATCTGAGGACAATTTTTCTATAAAAAAGAATTTGCTCAGGAACTGAGGACAGATTTTTCCATAGAAAAAATTTTCTCTTGTCGATGACAGATTGAAGAAAGAGAATTTCAGTTTCAAAATACACCATTAGGTCCCAAAATTATTTTTGCTGTGAATATCTACAAATAATCGTGGGGAGCATCGAAACATATAATTTTTTGTTAGTCGCCTGAAAGTATGTCATTAAACTAAGATTCTGTGAAATATGCCATGAAAATCGTAAATGATGTCATAAAATAATTATTTACCTAGAAATATACAACATAAATGATTCCACCTGAAAATATGCAATAAAATATGTGAACAAAAATAAGGTTATTATATATTGTGTAAACCATTAAAAATTTTAAAATATTTATAATTTTAGTCAAGTGTCTAATAAAGAAACAAAAATTCCAACTCTCCTAAAAATATGCAACAAATGTATGAAATAACAATATCCCCTGTGTCTACCTTAAAATAGTTAGGAATAGCAAAATAATGTCAAAACTCAAATATTTTTGAAAACCAAACCGTGTCAGTAAACATATCCATATCCAACAAAACAGCAAATATCAAATAACATATCCCAAAAATCAACAAATATTTCACGACAACATCAACGCACACTTTACAACAAGTGTTCTGAGAACCACAACAAATCGATTTGTGTTCGAAACTAAACTCAACATATCTATTCAAAAAAACAACAACATAATGTCTGCCAAAACCAATGATAGTGATATGCCAAAAATGGCATCCGAAATACCACGTCTCAGTTCGGAATTAGCTGCTCAGGCTGCCATTAGGGCTCAGCAAATTCTACGCAAACAATCTTCCCAGGAGGAACATCCTCCACCTATGGGTGTGGGAGTGAAACCTCCTTTGCATTTGCCACCAAAACCAGCCGGGTCACAACCCCCGCCCCTACCGCCGCAACATAACAAACCAGTTCCTGCAATACCGGCCCGTTCTTCAGATCGTTCGACACCACCTGAAATACCACCCAAGCGCCACAGTCTGAAGAGTCTACCGGATGGCTTTAATTTACCACCACCCGGAAGGCAGCCACCACCATTGCCACGCAAGCCAGCATCTGCTCAAAGTTCAGCACAAAATAGCGCACAAAACTCCCCTTTGTCGATGGCCAAGTTCAAGGATAAACCCCCGGTGCCACCTGAGAAACCAGAACCCAAGCGATCATCGAATCCTTTTGATATGCCGCTGGACAAAAATGTTCCCTCGCCAGCCCCCACACGGGCCAGTGATGTCAAGAAATCCTCCACGGCCTCTTCGTCGGCCTCTTCCTCTTCACGCATATCACCCACAGAAGATTTTGGGTCCGAAGATGCTTTGCGCGGCATTGAAAGCGGTCTGCGCAACATGGAGCGGGCCATGCAAGAGCAGATGAATTTACGTTCCTTTGAAGCACAAAATAACTTTGATATGCAATTTAAGGCCGCCCTCAGTTCCGGCAATCGCCATGTCTCTGCTGTGAATATTCGCGCTGCTGCCTATGAGCGGAACCTGTCACTCGATGAGAACACTGTTCAAAATGCAGCCGCTGCAGCTCGACAATCCATAGAAGAAATCAAACAGCTAAGAGCTCAGCAACTACAAAATTCCTCCACCAATAATCTTAGCCAACTGGAGCAGAGCCAACAGCAGGCCATGCGTTCCACCATTGAACATCACATGCGTTCGTTGGATCGTAATTTACCCCTGGAATTGCAATACAGTCGTCATCGTTCTCATGTTCCAACTACGAACACGAATGATTTCAATAAACCACCAGTTCCGGGACCATTACCGGTCAGTCAGGCACCCGCACCAGCAGTTCCAGGGGCAGCACCAGCTGGCTCCGGAGGATCAGCTGGCGGGCCCATGCCTTTAAGTTCGGAGTTTAGGGAACACATACGTCAACAGCTATTGGGTAATATACCAGGCAATGTGGTGCACAATACTGGACAGGGGCCAGGCTCCGCAGCAGCTGCTGCTCTGCTACAACATCAAGCCCAATCGCGAGCCGCAGCTGCAGCTGTGGCAGCAGCCCAAGGTTCGGCAGTGGCCGCCCTCACAAGAGAGGAAATGCGTTTGCGTCGTCGTTCGTCACACGATGAGACCCAATTGGCGCAGAGCCCTCAAATGCCCGGTATGAGATTGATTTTGTAATTAAATACAGAGTTTTTATTAATTTTCAATTTGTTGTAATTTTTATTTTTATATAAAAGTCATAAGAAGAAAATGTTTTTTTTTTTTAAAATATTTTTTTATCAAAAATTGACAACAACTATTTATAAACAAAAAAGTTTTTATCAATTTTTTTCTATAGAAAAAACTTACTTCAATCAAAAAAAAAAAAAAAAAAAATGTGCAAAAGTCTCTTCAATAGCCGAGGACAATTTGTTTTTTTAAAGAAAAAAGTCTGCTCAGCAGCAGACAATTTTTTCTAACGAAAAAAGTCTCCTCAGCAGCTGAGGATAATTTTTTTCTAACGAAAAAATTCTCCTCAGCAGATGAGGACAATTTTTTTCTAACGAAAAAGTCTCCTCAACAGCCGAGGACATTTTTTTTCTAACGAAAAAAGTCTCCTCAGCAGCTGAGGACATTTTTTTTTCTAACGAAAAAAGTCTCCTCAGCAGCTGAGGACATTTTTTTCTAACGAAAAAAGTCTCCTCAGCAGCTGAGGACAATTTTTTCTAACGAAAAAAGTCTCCTCAGCAGCTGAGGATAATTTTTTTCTAACGAAAAAATTCTCCTCAGCAGATGAGGACAATTTTTTTCTAACGAAAAAGTCTCCTCAACTGCCGAGGACATTTTTTTTCTAACGAAAAAAGTCTCCTCAGCAGCTGAGGACATTTTTTTTCTAACGAAAAAAGTCTCCTCAGCAGCTGAGAACAATTTTTTTCTAACGAAAAAAGTCTCTTCAGCAGCTGAGAACAATTTTTTTCTAAAGAAAAAAGTCTCCTCAGCAGCTGAGGACATTTTTTGCTAACGAGAAAAGTCTCCTCAGCAGCTGAGGACATTTTTTTCTAACGAAAAAAGTCTCTTCAGCAGCTGAGGACAATTTTTTCAATAGAAAAAAGTCTCCTTAGTAGCTGAGAACAATTTTTTCAATAGAAAACAGTCTCCTCAGTAGCTTTGGACAATTTTTTCTATAGAAAAAAGTCTCCTCAGTAGTCCTCAGCTATAGAAAAAGAAAAGAAAAGAAGAAAAAAAATCTCGTCTATAGAAAAAAGTCTCCTCAGTTCCTGACGAGATTTTTTTTGGAACGAAAAAGGTCTCCTCAGTTCCTGACGAGATTTTTTTGGAACGAAAAAAGTCTCCTCAGTTCCTGACGAGATTTTTTTGGAACGAAAAAAAGTCTCCTCATTTCCTGACGAGATTTTTTTCTTTCGAAAAAAGTCTCCTCAGTTCCTGACGAGATTTTTTTCTAACGAAAATATTTCCTCAGTTCTGAGGGTTTTTTTCTACGCCCTTCTTGATCTCATTTGAACATGATCTTGTCCCACATTTGCATATGTGTTTGTCTGCCTAAACGTGTGTGATGTTCCGTCATTTCATATTTCTTGGGAAGTATTTAAGCAGTTATTGCATTGCAACATTATACATTAATTAATCCACTCCTTCACCAAATTTGCCTGGCACAATACCATTCCATTGCAAGTTATGTCGCAGCATATTCCATCCGGTTTTCACTACCCTTCCGTCATTACTTTAAGATCGAAAATTTCCAACTAAGAATATTATCCATACCTACTAAGCATGTGTTAATTAATTATACTGAACAATACAATCTTTCCTTCTATTTCTATTAGAATTGAAACAATTTTCGTTAGCACCGCATTGTTCCGCCGAATTGGATTATATGCGTTGTTGTCTGAAAGGTAAAGTGTTCATATTTCACAAAATTGCATTTGCATAACAACCTGCAGCTTAAACCAAAGATCAGTTAACACAGTGCCTTCGTTAATATTTTTCTAATAAAATTAATAAAATAATAATTTGAACATAACCTCAATAATATGCCGAAACATAACCTCAAAAAAAAAAAATAAAAACTAAAATTTCTCCACAAACCACAAAACCTACCACAATTCACCACATGGTGGTTTTGGGCTAAGCTAACCCAGCCGTACTAAATCAAATCGTATGATTGAGCAAGGCATTGTATAACTGTAAAATGTCTGCATATCAGACTGCCACCTAGACATAACCTAACTTTTTTTTTAATTACTACTAATTAAAGCATGGTTTTCGTTCTTCCCTAAAAAACAACAAATAATCACCATGAATTTTTTTCCCAACATCACTTGTGGTTTTTTGAGTTTTTGTTACCCAATTGAGAGAGAGAGCGGGAGCAAAAATATTCAATACGTCATATAATCAGCCCTGGATATTGTGTTCACACAGCCCTCCAACAATAATAAAAATAATAATAAGTCACAATTATAAGAACCAAACCCTCCCCCACTTAACTACAGGGTGTTTCCAAAAAGGGGTTTTTATTTTTTATTAATTTATATTTTTTTTTGTTTTCAAATATTTCAGCACATTTTTGTTAACATCTATTTTGAATTTTATATCAAAATAATTTTGAATTGAAAATAATTTCTGAATTTTCCCACCACTTTTGTAGTCACCCGTTTGCGTGAACATTGGGATGAAACGTCACAGTGCGTATTGCAGCGTGCTGCCCAGCTGAAGACCATGCTGAGTGATTCCCAGAGGTAAGGTTTAGAAAATGGATTTGAAATTTAAAAAAAACTTATTTTTTTATGAATTCTCTTGTTTCAGATACGAGGCCAAACGTCTGGAACTTGAAAAATGGCTGCAACGCATGGAAGCCCGTGCCGAACGTATGGGCACTGTGGCTACCACTGCTGATATCCTAGAGGCCCAGCAAAAAGAGCAGAAGGTGAGTAATATTTTGTTTCGAAAAAAAAAAAAAATAAATTATTTAAGAGGGAATCTGAAAGGGCTTCGTGATAGGCGGCCTCCGTATGACCAATATTTGAATGAAATAATATTCAAACATTAAAATAATATGGACCTGGAAGGAGGAAGGTTATATGCATTTCCTGTAGTTGTTCAAAGATCACCTTTTATAAAGTAACAGCAAGTGTCCACTATGTCGTCAACGAAAAGTTCTCCAATTTGTTCATCAACAGAGACTTCAATACGAAGTTTCCATCTCTATCCCAACACTCACCGCACATTTTGTGACATTTTGCACTTTTCGTACGTTCATAGTACGCATTTCCAAAACCCCCTCCTCATAATATTTGAGGATTCCTGCTCTATCCCTACGCCCGATTCAAAATTTAGAAGCATTTAGTTTCTTTTTTTCTATTTTCAACATAATCTCCATATCCCAGCCTCAGATACCAACAGTCACCTCAATATCAAATTTCAGGATTTCAACTCTGTAAGTTAAACCATTACCAAGTTTAGTAACATTTAGTGCAATTAGGGTACACATATTCAAAACCAGTTCCTTTTCTCATTCACTGACACCAACAGCGAGATCCATATCAAATTTCTGGATTGAAGCTCTATCCCTTCGTCCAATAACATATACAGGGTGAGATAAAAAACTGCAACAAAGTCAAACGCCATATTTTCTTAAATTTTATTGAATGAAAGCAAAAAATGTCGGAAATAGCATCAAATTTTAGAATAAGTTTAGATTTGTTCGAAATGGTAACCTTTGGCACGTATTATGGCCTTCAATGAAACAGCCACACGCTGCCCGAATGTTGCTCTGCGGTATTTAGGCTCATTCCCGACGAAGCGCTTGCTTGAGGTGATCGACACTTTGGTATTTTTTAATGCCAACCTTGCTTTCCAAAATACTCCAGACACAATAGTCCAACGGATTGGTATCCGGAGGCCACCAACATTGTGCGTTGAAAATGAAGCGAGGAACCTCATTTTGTAACCATTCTTGTTTGCGTGCCCAAGGCTTCAATACAACCACCAGAATATTTTCGCGATAATAATCGGTATTTATTCTGATGCCACCATCACCGGCGCTTGAGTTCTGGTGCCCTACCGAAGGTGCATATTTTCAGCTGACCTCTTTTGCAAATAAACACGGTTATTTTGTTTGTTTACAAACTGCTGGACAACGAATGTTTTCTCATCGGAGAAAACCTAATTCGGCAGTTCACCACTTTCGGAAGCAACTCTTTAGCTCTTTTGAGTCTATTTTCTTTCTGTTGCGGTGTAAGTTGTTGCACTTTTTGGAATTTTAATGGCTTTACCCCGAGCTTATTTTTCAATATTTGACGAATGAAATATTGCGATATGTTCAGCTCACGAGCCATTTTTCGGCAACTGCGACGCGGGTTTCGATCAAGTCGCGTTTTTACTTTTCGAAACATTTCCGCTGATGTTACTGTTTTCCTCCTCCGACTTACTTAGCGTTGGCCTACCAGTATCACAGTAAAGAGCAATGGTACGAGACACAAAAGATTTATTCAAATGTAAATGCTGGAGTGCCCTATCGATAGCCACTTGTGGTTTTCCAGCAAAATACAAAATAAATTTCCATTACGAATAATGCCAGAACTCCATAACGAATAATTTTTTTCTGGAAAATTCTCACCAGAATGCTTTTGTACGCATGTAAACAATATAATGAGCTGTCACTGCAATAATTTTAACAGCTGTCGGACAAGTGGCTTAGAAATGACAGCAGTCTGAAATTGGTTGCTGTTTTTTCATCTCACCCTGTATATAACACAGTTCCACAACCACCTCCATATCTCAATTCCAGTTACAAACAGAGACCTCAAATTCAAATTTGTTGGTTGGATTTCAAATTTGTTGTTTGTGATTCTTATGTCAAGTTTCAGATTTCAAGCAGTATCCGTTCTTGGAATACCAAATTTAGTACTATTTAGTACCTTTAGTAACTTTTGTCAATTTGTAGTTAATCTTTATCACAAGCCTACCATCAAAGGGACCACAATGCATAATTTCAAATGTCCAGCTTCATCCGTTCACCCTATAACACAATGTTCCAAATTAAGTACCATTCAGTACACTTCGCACACTTAGCACAAATTTCCGAAATATATCAAAAAATATATCAGATTTACTTTCCAAATTTATCCGTTCACAGAATATGTTACCATTTTCGAAGTTTAGTACCATTTTAGAACTTTTCTTACCCTTAAAGTTCGAATTTCCAAAAAAACTATTTTCTACATCTACGCTGCACTCCATCATTGACTCTCATCCCACATTTCAGATTTCTAGCTCAATCCGTTTGTCAAATACAACGTATCAAATTTTAATAGATTTTATTACATTTCGTACCCTTTTAGTACGACTGGACGTTGATTCTTAGCCAGTCAGTTAATTCAATACTCCTTTATAAGTAGAAGCAAAAAAAATTCCTCACATAATATTTTTAAATAGAAACAACTAAAAAGGAGCTAAGTTCGGCCGGGCTGAATAATACCCTCCACCATTTGGAAGGAACTTAAAAATTTTAAAAAAAATTCCGGAAACTACCGCCTAAATGAAAATGTTTATATGGAGACTATACGAAGACGTGGACCTGCTTACGAAATTTTTTGTCATAGGCTGTAGTACCCATTGCGAACATCAAATACGAAATTTGGGGGCTATACGAAGACGTGGACCTGCATACAAAAATTTTTGTAATAGGCTGTAGTATCCATTACGAGCTTTAAATACCAAATTTGAAATAATTCCGGTAAATACTGTCGCTAAAATCATGAAAATACCGAATATCGGGAGGTACCGTTATATGGGAACTATACGAAAACGTGGACCGACATAGCCCATTTACGAACTTAACCAGCCTACTGGTAAACTATGGATGTATGCCAAATTTTAGCCCTATATCTCAATTCGTTCGAAAAATAACGTTATTACAACAGACAGACGGACAGATAGACGGACATCACTAGATCGTCTTAAAATTTTACGCTGATCCAGAATATACATACTTTATAGGGTCCATTATAAATATTTCGAGGAGTTACAAACGGAATGACAAAGTTAATATACCCTCCATAGAATGGTGGAGTGTATAAAAAAGCTCTCCGTTCACATACTATATTTATAATAATTTCTAATTTTCTCTTTTCAGTCCTTCCACGCGGAACTGCATCAAAACAAGCCGCAATTCGAAATATTCAATACATTGACTCAAAAACTCATCGCCGTCTATCCTGCGGATGATACGACCAGAGTCAAGAAAATGACTGAGGCCATTAATCAAAGGTTTGTTTTTTTCGGAAATTCTATTGGAGCATTTGTACAAAATTGTAATTTCGACTCAACCTTTGCAGATATGCCAACCTCAATAATGGTGTTATCAATCGCGGCAAGCAGTTGCATGCCGCCGTCCATAGCCTGCAATCCTTCGACCGGGCCATGGATCAATTTTTGGCATTCCTGTCGGAATCTGAATCGTTGTGTGAAAGTGCCGAAGCTGAGATTGAGAGAAATCCATTGATGTTTAAGGTAAGTGGTACAGTTTTTTTCTTTTTTAATTTATACTGATTTAAATAAATTGATATTGATTTAATGCTGAGAATTTCGGGATACCCTAAAAATTATTATTAAAAGATTATAAGAAATATTCAAGTTATTTTAGCATTGATTGATTATTCCATTATTTTTATGCTCTTTATTATACGTGTAAGCTTTGCAAAAGTTCTTACTGTATTGAGAAGCTACAACAGGTCTTTTTTATGGGCCATATAAAGGCCACCTATAGGTTTCTATTCCTGTGGGAGATCTCTCAATGGTATATTATTTACGAATGACTTATTGAAGAGTATGATGTCTTCTATGTGCAGTTTTCATAGATGCCTTCCATATGTTTTATAACTCCTTAAGAAAATTTGCAGCGAAATGGGGAAAAGTGCTGTTTTTTTTAGAAACAGAAAAGATTTTTTTTATTAATAAATATTGATGCCATTTCCTATGGTACATATTAAGTATACAAATTTCTTTTTTTCCAGAGAAACTCGAAATTTGATCTAAAATAATTCTTACTTTGACACTTCTCCCAAAATATGAACTATAAAGGGAGATTTCGACTTGGATTGGATACGTGTTTGATTAACAGTAAAAAAACGCAATACATAATTTTCGCTTTTAGTACATAAATGTTGAATACAATTTTCTTGAAAACTATAATATATTGATAACCGCTTCATTCTGAAAATTATAGTGAAATTTTGTGCAGAATATTTTTTCCTTTGACACATTTGGCCTAGAATGAAAATTTATATTACTTTCAGGCGTCAACTCGAAAAAAGTCCGAGGAAAAATTGTTGACAAAAATTAGGAAATAATTTCGGGTTTTTTTTTAACATATATGCAAATTTTTTTTGATATCCAATGGAAATAGAGATTTATTATTTTTGGTAACTCATAGCAGAATTTAATGAGGAATATTTTCGTCTGTGATGTCATCATTCTAAAATAATGCCTTATTAGAGATTTCTGGATAAATTCGCAAAATCACCCTAAATAGAAATCCTGGCGTTAATGTAAGATTTAGACCCTTGACGTCTTCCAAGACCTATAGTATAATTACATGACAAAAAATTTTGCGGAATATTTTGACTTGCTAAAATCTAATTTAACAGGAGTTTTTAGTCATATTTAAAAAAGGATCAAAAGTACCCCTTATGGTTAAATTACCAAAATGGTTAAAATTACCAAAATATTCCTCTTATTTTTGTCTACAATATTGCCGAAGACACCATATACTTTTAAAATGCGGTTACACGTGTCCTCTTTCTTTAGCTCTTAGATTATCACCCTAAGTGGCAGCCAACGCACTTTAGAAGCTCTCTTAAGCTCTGTCCGTCTTTAGACTAAGTTTCAGCTCGTCTTGTGTATAGAAACTTCTCCAGCTTGTCTGTAGAGGCTCCCTTACTTTTAGCACGTCGGTAGAGTAGGGACTCTCTGGCCTTCAGCTCGTCTATTGAGACTCGCTGGCCAGTCAGTAAATCTATTGAGACTCGCTGGCCAGTCAGCTCGTCTATTGAGGCTCTCTAACCAGTTAGCTCGTCTATTGAGAATTCCTGGTCAGTCAGTTCGTCTATTCGGACTCCCCGGCCAGTCAGTTCGTCTATTGAGACTCTCTGGCCAGCCAGCTCGTCTATAGCGACTCTCTGGCCAGTCAGCTCGTCTATTGAGACTCTCTGGCCAGACAGCTCATCTATTGAGACTCTCTGGCCAGTCAGCTCATCTATTGAGACTCTCTGGCCAGTCAGCTCGTCTATTGAGACTCTCTGGCCAGTCAGCTCGTCTATTGAGACTCTCTGGCCAGTCATCTCGTCTATAGCGACTCTCTAGCCAGTCAGCTCTTCTATAGCGACTCTCTGGCCAGTCAGCTCGTCTATAGCGACTCACTGGCCAGTCAGCTCGTCTATAGCGACTCTCTGGCCAGTCAGCTCGTCTATAGCGACTCTCTGGCCAGTCAGCTCGTCTATAGCGACTCTGGCCAGTCAGCTCGTCTATAGCGACTCTCTGGCCAGTCAGCTCGTCTATAGCGACTCTCTGGCCAGTCAGCGACTCTCTGGCCAGTCAGCGACTCTCTGGCCAGTCAGCGACTCTCTGGCCAGTCAGCTCGTCTATAGCGACTCTCTGGCCAGTCAGCTCGTCTACAGCGACTCTCTGGACCTCCAACTCATCCATTGAGACTCCCTGGCCCCTCAGCTCGTCTATTGAGACTCCCTGCGCTTCAGCTCGTCTATAGAGACTCCCTGCGCTTCAGCTCGTCTGCTGAAACTCCCTGCGCTGCAGCTCATCTATTGAGACTTTCTTGCCTTCAGCTCGTTTATAGAGACTCCTCATGACTCCATGCACTTTATCTCGTCCATATGAACTCTCCTGCCCTTTGGCTAAAATATACTTTCCAATTTTTCTGGAATTTTACTCTGATGTTATCTCTTTCTTTAAAACTCCATATTCCTTATCTAGAAAATTTCCCCTGCCTGTTTATGATGTCTGTAATTGTTCGCATGTAATTGATCTCCAAAAGCCATTAAATTTTATTAATATTTTCGTTTTTTGTCTTAAGACTACATTTTCCCCCTTTTTCTTTGTTTTGATCCGCAATCGCATTGATTTTCAATTTATCAATCAATTGATGCGTTTGTTTGAAGATATCTCTCGGGGCAGACACATGAATTCAATTGGTTTTTCTGTTGGTATCTGCCGCAATCTGCTTCATATATGTATGGAGGGTGGGTGCTACGCAGACTGGCAGGCAATTTGTGGGCAATATGGAAATGGAAAATTGTAGCGGAAAAACTGAATATATTCAGCGTATGAATATTCCTGTTTGCAAGAGCTTGGTAACATTTGTTTGTTGAGGCTTAACAGGCTGCGTATTTGCTGATGATGGTGGAGCTGATGGTGGTGCCAGTCAGTCAGTCAGTCATTCGAGACAGCCATCGAGTGGTTGGCATGCGTTGCAATTCGTTGTCTGCAGCAGCAGCAGCAATGATGACAACCACTTGAGCGCCATCTCCACACAAATGATGATCATCCATAATGCGTAGAAGATTTGTAAGGTTCAAAACGCTTGTTCTAAATGCATGCATTCATTCTGTCAGCTATGCAGCCAGCTATGCACCCACTTAACTCAAATCTTTATGGATTTTTTTCTGTGTCGTATCTTTGTTTTCCTTTCGTTTTCATCATCATCATCGTCATCGCATCTCTATCTACAGCTACATCCTACTCAACTTGAGCCACCGCTCTAAGAATTTTCTTCGAGCTGTTTATTTGGTTTTTCCTGCTCTGGGGTTCTGTTTCAGAATTTTTTCTTCGTTTACTCCCTATTCTGTTTGCTATTACTTTAAGTGCAATCGTTTGGGGTTTAATTGCATTCACAAAGGAAAACCCCACAAGACAGGGGATTGAATACAAAGTGCTGGAGGAGGCGGACGACGAGGTGGAGTGTGGAAGATAGTCTATGGAAAACACAAGCTAAGTGCTATTTAGACAAGTATCAAATATTCCAACAATCAGTCAGACACTCGTTGGAAAAGAATTTCAATGCACCCTTTTTTGTGCCTGATTTCTTGGGGTTTTGTTGTTTAAATTGTTGTTCTTTACTTATGCCCGCATAATAGTAGCCTTTTCCAAACAATTTTAATTTAATTTTCAATTTCTATTTTAATAAAAGTTCAATAGGTTTTTGGGAAATTTAAAAATTGTCTTTCAAATATTGGTTTTTCTATTTGAAAGGGGGGAGGAGCAAACGACCAACAATGGCTTGTGCCAATGTCAGGGTTAAGGGTTAGCCAATAAATTATAAATAAAGTGTTGTTGTTGCCCACAAAAGGTTGCTTATAGGGCAATTTGAAATGCCTTATAAAAATATTGTGAATTATTGTTTAGGGAATCGAATTCTGGGACTGATGTCTATGATGAGTTAAAAAATTTTTGGTAAAGAGGGAGAAGATGAGCTGACGAGCAGGAAATGACATTAAAATTCTCCGAGTATTTACAGAGAGAAGAGAGAACAGTTGTGAAGACTAAGGAGTATTTTGGTAAACGGAGTCTTAATTCTTTGGAGGAACTGGCTTTTCTACCATGGGAGTCTACTATAGTACAAAACAGGAAACTTTAATATAACAGGAGAAGTATTTTTTAGCCCATTGATTCGCCGGTCTGACGGACAAGCAAATGGCGGACAAGCAATTTCCTGTAGACAAACTGGCTGTTCCGCAATAGAAGTCAACAGTAGACGAACTAATTGGTCGTTGAGAAGAGTCTATCTTACATTTAAGAGACTATCTATACATTTAAGAAACTCTCTTCAGCTCGTCCCGTCTATAGAGGCTTAGCTCGCATCGTCTATAAAAAATCCCCTCAGCTCATTTTGTCTATAGAAACTACCCTCAGTTCATTTTGTCCTAGAGATCGTCTCGTATTCAGCTAGGCTATTGATACTCTCTGGCGAGTCTGCTCGTCTGTTGAGACTTTCTGGCCTTCACCTTGTCTATAGAGGCTCTCTGGCCAGGCAGGTCGTTTATAGAGACTCTCTGACCAGGCAGGTCGCCTATAGATACTCTCTGGCTAGACAGGTCGCCTATAGATACTCTCTGACCAGGCAGGTCGTCTATAGAGACTCTGGGTAGACAGGTCGTCTATAGAGACTCTCTGGGTAGGCAGGTCGTCTATAGAGACACTCTCGCTAGGCAGCTCGTCAATAGCGACTCACTGGCACATCAGCTCGTCTATAGCGATTCACTAGCCAGTCAGCTCGTCTATAGCGACTCTCTGCGCAGTCAGCTCGTCTATAGCAACTCACTGGCCATTCAGCTCGTCTATAGCGACTCACTGGCCCGTCAGCTCGTCTATAGCGACTCACTGGCCAGTCAGCTCGTCTATAGCGACTCACTGGCCAGTGAGCTTGTCTTCAGCAACTCTCTGGGCAGTCATTTCGTCTATAGCGACTGTCTTACCAGTCAGCTCGTCTATTAAGACTC